GATCTGTCAACATCAGGGCCCAATAGCATGGTAGTCTCTCGCTCCAAAGCGGAGACTTACATGGAAACAATCGAAAGTGAAATAGAAGCTGAGGTTATGCAAGGCGTATTCAGATTATATGCGGAGGCCTCACCAATCAGAATAAGCCTTGGGGTATACGATGATATAACCCTAAACCCCAGATCCTAAACTTTACACCCCATTACACTACAACTGTATAAATATATATATATATATACATATATGTATATATACATAGGTTGTGAAGGAATTGTGATCTTGCTGTCCATTTCGGAAAGCCCTACATGCTCACTCAGTCACCTGCTTCTAAGCTACTGTCTGAGGCCACGGCGCGCCATCGGCTGGGCAGGAGATCACGGGGAACCTCGCAAGTTTCATGTTCAAGTTGCTTACTGGGGGGTTGCTGGGGAGTATGCTAGGGAGTATGTAAATATTGGAATTTGTGATATAGGGTTCATAGAGGAACTATATTGCCTTATTCCTTACTAAGAGCCCGTCAGGTTAGGGTTTAGGATTTAGGGATCAGTACAGGCACTTCAACCTGCACGGACCCCTAGATTCTGACATCCTCATATACACCTATATTCGCCATTTCCGCGCAAGGGCCAAGGAACAAGTCAGGGTCCACATGCAGTGAGGAGGTGAGTGTAAGGGTCAACTCCTCAAGTGGACAGAATATCTGGGTTGCGGGGAATTTCTGATAAGTTCCTCCGCTTTCAGGTTTTACCTTTGAGCTTTAGATCAGTAGCAGCCTTATATCCTCCTTCCACTGCAAAGTGATTAGATCCCTTGCCCCCTAACGTAAAGCAACCTTTCGGGAAAGTGCGAGGCCGACCCTCAAAAGAGAACACCCCAAACCTGAAAGCACTACCTTGAAAGCCAGCAGCGTATAATTATAGCCTACTTCCCATCCTTTCCTACTACTTTGGGTTAAAGTAGCCCACTATCATGGGTAACTGGGCTTTCTAGGTATTTGCCTCCAGAAGAGTGCAAATTACGCCATACAATGCAGCATTTCGAACTGTACCTTCCTAAACCCTGAGCGCTAGGCCCTGATCCCGATATCTTAAGCCCTACTCCCTGGACTGCGCTGCTAGTTCCCCAAACTAGGGGACCCCAATATGGAACCCAAAATATTGTAATCCTTATTGTAGGGACCCCCAAAAACGGTACCACCTAATTTTGGGAAACCCTTACACCTTAATCCCTAAACCCTCAACCCTATACATCCTATATAACCCCTATATACCCTCTATAGCCCCCTTTAAGCGTACCACCTAATTTTGGGAAACCAACACCTAGCGCAAAACGCAAAGCCAAGGGCAGGGCACCGTGGACTGCAGTGGCCCTGAGCTTGACCTCACCGAACAAAACGGGAACTACTGGGGTAATAATATAGGGATAATGGGAGAGAAAATGGAAAGTACTGGGGTGCTTCAGTGATAATGAAGCATTCAGCCGAAAGCCTGCCTAATGCATATCCTACCAAAGGGAGCGAAGATCTGGACGTGCAAGCCATGCAGGCAACCTCCCTTTTGAGGGGGGGGCTAACCAACTTCACAAGAGCTAAAGTCCATTTTTGCCAGATAATTCATGGACATGGACTCATATTAGGAATATATTTGGTAGTTTCCCAAAATAGGGGGACCCCAATATAGACCCTAAAATACTATAGTCCTTAGTATGTGGACCCGTAAAAAGGTACCCCTAATGTTGGGAAACCCTCATTTGGGACTAGGCTAAACTACCAAAGGCACACCTTTATCCATCCTTGGTGGTTCCTTGGTCAAACCAAAACTGGCAGTAACTCACATGGGCTTTCCCAAAAAATAGGGCCCTGTTGTTGGCAGTTCCTACGGTAAGGACTCAGGCAAAATGGGTTCGACCTCGGGGCCACCATTCATGGAAAATTCTACATGGAGGGATAATGGAACAGAAAATGGAAACTACCCTGGTCTACAGGGATACTTGAAAAGAAAATGGAAACGGCTGTAGTATATATGTGCTATTCCTGAAAAGCAGTTCGAACATATAATTCAGAATGGAGCCATTTCGTAGCCAGTGGAACACAGAACGCCTAAACCGTGCATCCTACACTATCTTGCGCTCGACGAGCCTGCGACCCTGAATCCCAACCCCTGCAGCCTCATGATAAGATTCCATGCCAGCATTTGTTTCACAGAAGGAGGGTCCCGTCAAAAAGTGTAACTCCCTGTTTAGCAGTCCTGCGTAACAGGAAGCCATATCCCCTGCGTCAGGTATAAACCTAAACCCTAAACCTTAAACCCTAAACCATCCCTAAACCCTAAACCTAAACCCCTAACCCTAAACCGTAAGCCGTAAACTTCACATGCCTCTCACTGCAGGCTCCATCCCTGGGCCCCCCCGACGCAGCTGATGCCGTGCTGCCACAGAGAAGCATCCTCAGGGTTTAGGGTTTAGGG